GCTGGTGCTGGTGCTGGTGCTGGTGGTGGTGGCGGTGGCGGTGGCGGTGGCGGTGGTGGCGGTGGTGGTGGTGGTGGGGTGGGCGGCGGCGGCAGCAGCGCAACAGCAGCAGCAGCAGCAGCAGCAGCACTCGTACCAGTACTAGCACCACCGCCAGCAGCAGTGTCATCATCATGAACAACATCACGAGCATCGCCATTATCATCAGCCGCTTCTTCTTCTTCTTCGTGACATCGCCCACACAAATATTGAGTAAAAAGACCTGTCACAACTAGCGCATCCCGGTCTTTCGCACGGTCATGTGGCAACAGGTGAGGTGTCTCTGCCACTGGCACGGTAGAGCACCTGCACGAGCGCGACGGACGAAGCCAGCGCCATGGCTAACCCAATCACCAGGAATGCCCACCTCATGTTATGTCAGGTGGCGCCCATAGCCCGTGCTGTTCTATGCACTGCCCGTGATGCATGGCATGAATGAAGCAGCCTACGGCATGGTGCGAACCTAACCAACATCTGGTGCACAGCAGCCGGAAACGAGGCAGGTCGAAATTTGAGAGCCGGGCCAGGGAAGGTGCTCCTCTGGCTCCTGGCCCACGCCACAAACTTACATGACTTACATTCCCGTCGACCAAAACTGTGGCATTTGGACATGTCGGTCTCGATGCCACCACTTGCCGATCAATCCGCTCTTCCAACCAAGTCTTCATTTCCAAGCCAACCCTGATCCTCTGGAAATCCCACTCTACGCCGTTTCTCGACCTTACACCGAAGCGCTTCTCCGATCCCAAGAAAAGTTTCACTGCGCATGCGTGCCTGAGGATGCGCAGGTGCCACTCCCAAGAGAGGTGCAGGGGACGATGAGGCCGATGCCTGCCAAGATGCTCGAGCCGTCTAGTTAACTCTGACGAGGACTAGCGCTAGGGTTCTAGGAAGCCGATGATCAGAAAGATCAGAGATAAGTTGAGGACGGGCTGCAATTCCTGTCTTCGGGCCTCCTTGTCCTTCTGGATGAACTGGGCCGCCTCTTCGGCCTTTGCGGGCAGATGGAGTTCCTGCTTCTCACGACCATGCCAGTAGATCCCCAGACCATCACAGCGCAGCTTGACCAAGACGACAACGACCACCAGGACAACCTACGATAAGGACGACCGCGACAACCAGCAAAGCACGAGGAGACCACAGGAGAGCCCAGAGATGACCGGGACACCAGCAAAATGTTTTCCCAAAAGTATTCTTGGGATTCCGTGGCACGGCCAACATGCTTTCCCCGAATTCGGGAGCACGACCAAACTCCGTAGTTCTGGCCGGATTCCCGATGGGAATGCCTTCCAAGAGGTTTCGATCCCAACAAGCGTCGCATGCATTGGAGTTTCAATGAATGTGGCCTCCCGGAGACCCGTGTCCACCGCGAGTCGCTACGTAAATAGCAAGAATCTGCACGGCTTCACACCGTGAGCCAGGTCCAGAGAAATGTTTTTTTCCACGAACGTTGGAACCCTACAACCGCAACGACAGCAGTGACGACAATAATAAGGATAACAATGCACCCCAGTCGACCGACCGCCAAAAAACAACAACAACAACAACAA